ATTTATTAGCCAATCAGACAAACTTCTGCTTATGAATGATTTACATAAGTGTGAACTACAGAAGCTCGAACTTACTTTCTTGATATTTAAATGAATTGCATCAAAAACGTAACTTTTATATCACTTCGCTTCAGACAACCAGATTAGATATTTTTAACGATTTATACTCAATAAAGTTATTAATTGTTGGGTTGGTTTGAATTCATTCCGTCATGGAGTGTTTCTAATTGTTCGGAGCATAGTGAACGCTTAATGACATAACACAAAATTACGATTTTGATACATCATTAAGATACAAATAGACAACAAATCAAAAAAAAGGATATCTGTCCACACACGTGCTAATATTTTTGTTTTTTAGTATAACGATAACAAAATAACACAATATACTTATGTGTTTGTGTAATACTACAATGCTGCGTATCAACTCAGTAAATTAGTTCCATTTTATAGCTCGCTCTAGTCTGGTTTGAGTTTAACCCGGAGTGCTCCAGAGAAGAAACAATAAAATTTGATCAGGTCCGACCGGATCCGGACTGATCCTAATCTTCGAGAAACACTACTCTAGACAATAAACGTATAGAACAGGCAATTCATTGGCCGATAATACAATTACATGTGATATTTGTTTTTAGTTAAAAACGCGTAAACTCCGATTTTGTACATCTTTCTAAAGAATTTATCCCCCCCCAAAAAACCCAAAGTTTTAGAAATTTTGATCATGCCAACTGGAAAGAGAGTTCGACGAACAGTTTTCTCTGATAGTGAAACCGAAGGGACCGAGATTGCTGAAGAAGAACCGGTAAATAAATTATTTTATTTTGCTAGTTATTGGTATTCTTAAAACATATAATGTTTATTCACGATATACAGAGGCAGACTAGATCTAGCTCCAAGAGAGCACGTCGATCTGCAACAGAAGAAATTAATGGCTTTCCAGACGAAATGTCTTTTGAAGATAACTATTTTGAGGACGACGATTTTAGTAGAGAATCGGCAGAAGAACTGGAAAGAGCGAAACTAAGGAGAAAGAGCTCAACTGGGGTGAGTTTTTCTGCATCATACTATTATGGGTTTTTATTATCTTGCTGATGTTATTTTTTTAATTCTCATTAAGTTGACAGCAGAATCTAGTGTCATTGAATCAATAGAATTAGTGGATTTTATGTGTCATAAATTCCTCAAAGTCAATTTTGGTCCAAAAATCAATTTCATAATCGGTCATAATGGAAGTATGTACATGTATATCATAACTTTTGAAATTTAATATTATTATAGTGATTGAAAGATTTACTTTCTCTATGGGATATGGTCTATTTATATAGGTGGTAAAAGTGCCATTTTGACCGGAATCACTGTTTGCCTTGGAGGTAAAGCCAATGTGACAAACCGAGCATCAAACTTAAGGTCCTTGATTCGCGAAGGCGCGAGGTATTTAAATGAATTAATTCTTTGTTGAATTCTATATCAAATGAATGAAGTATAGATAACTAATGTTCTAATTTTGAAAGTGTTGCACAAGTAACATTGAAGTTGCGGAATCGAGGGGCAGATGCTTATCGTCACGATATGTATGGTGATTCTATTATTATCGAACGTAGAATTAGTCGAGATGGTAGTAATGGTTATAAAATCAAAACATGTGGTGGAAAGGTAGTTTCCGGAAAACGGGATGAATTAACCGCTATTTTAGATCATATGGCAATTCAAGTAGACAATCCCATGAATGTTCTATCACAAGACACTGCACGTCAATTTTTACACTCTTCAAGCTCAGAAGATAAGTATAAGGTAGTTTGCACCCATTTATTTATACGTTTGTTTCATATAAATATTTAAATTTAGGCTCTTGTTAACTTGTTTGTTTGTACTAGTTTTTTATGAAAGGAACTCAATTGACACAATTGAGTGAAGATTACGAATTAATACGTGAAAGTATCGAAACGACCCAAAATATTATTAAGCACAAAAAAGAGGTGCTACCAGATTTACTGAGGGCAGCTAAAGATGCTGAGGCAAGATATAAAGATATGGAAAAAGCCCGTGAGCTCGAAGTGCTAGTTTCTAATTTAAAGGATCAAATAGCTTGGGCTCAAGTTGAAGAAAAAGAACAGGTTTGGTTTTGAATTTATATATTCATAGATGCATGTAAATTCAAACTTATAAGTGCTCAATAATTTATCAGGAAGTTGCAGAAGCAGAAGCAAATTTGTTAAAGGCTAGAAGACGATTACCAAGTGTTCAAGCAAATCTAGAAAAAGAACAAGTTAATATATATAATTTTTAAGCAGTGTAAAAACAAATTATATGATACTTATTTTCATTTATTCTATAATATGCAAACATAATAGAAAAAATTTGATGAAATCAACTTGGTTATTTCTGAATTAGAACAGAAGCTTCATGAACATGCTACTACTACTCAGCCTTTGCAAAACAGGAAGAAAGAATTGCAGATGCAAGTAAAAGAGAAAACAAAGCAATTGCGTGAGATTCATGTAAGTTTTTAGTAATACCCAAATTAATAAATTAGTCATAGTAATAATAATAATAATAATAATAAATTTTCATGCAGAAAGAGGAAAGAGAAATAAATGACCATATTAAAAATTTGAAACATTCTGTTGAAACATATCGAGCAAAGATAAATGAAGAAGCGTTAAAGTTACAAGATGATAATCGCCAAAGGCGGGATTATACTTTGAATGCTGTTAAAGAAAGAGAAAATGAAGTCAATATACTAACAGAAGAACGTCACGTATTGTTGACAAAAGCTGAAAATTTAGTTGAGAAACTGGAACACATAAAAAATGAGAAGAGATCAATTATGTTAAATATTCGACGTACTGAAGATGAGATTTTACGACATAATGATCTTATACAACAATTAAGAGATCAGAGGAGCGACAACCTTAAAGCCTTTGGTCCTTCGATACCTGATGTACTTAATGCAATTGCCCATGAGAGTCGATGGCATAAGATACCTGTAGGCCCTTTCGGGAGATATATTAAACTAATAAAACCCGAATGGAGAAATACCTTGGAATCGGTGGTCGGAAATTCTTTGACCGCTTTTTCTGTTAGTAATCATCATGACCAACAACTGTTATCAGGAATTTTAAAAAGATTTCACTGGTATATGTCTTAAAGTTTTGTTGATTTATGTAAAAAAACCATCGCGATATGGTTATAGTTCTTTTATAGAAAACAAACCACCGTATTCACCGCATTTTATACAATTTCTATATAGCAATTCTCCAATTATTGTTGGTGAAGATGACCGCTTTGATTACTCTTCTGGAGAACCTAGCAGCCGTTATTTGACCATTTTACGCGTGTTAAATGTAATTTTATTTAACTTCATTTATGCAATTTGTTAGATAATTTTTATTTAAAAAATTTGCTAATTCAAATTCTATATAGTTTGATGATGAAAATGTTAAACGACGGCTTATAGTTCAATACCATATTGAATCAGTTATTCTTGTTGAAAACCGTGCTGAAGCTGATAAAATCATGTATAATGATGGAAAGGGGTTTCCTTATAATGTCAGTGCATGCTACACTGTTGATGGGTTCAAAGTTGGGCATAAGTGAGTAGTTTAAAAAGGAATGACCATCAAAGTTGCATGCTTCTTATTTCATTAATGATAATGATAATAATAATATATTTACAGAGGCGGTGGCTACTCAACACAGTCTATTTTTCCCTACAGAGGACCTTCCAGATTTACACAAGATATTGATTCTCAGATTCGGTACGCATAATCATTTGCTTAATTGATATGTTCGTAAAATCAAATTTATTGATAAAAAATATTTGAATTATTCAGAGATACACAAGAAAAAATTAATGATGCAGCCTATTTGAAGTCTCGGTATATCACCGAAATAAGGAGAGCTGATTCGGAAATTGAGAGGGCGAATCAAGAACAAAGGGAAATCCAAGTGAGCAGTTGTATAATATTATGTTTTTATGCTGATGCTGATGGTAAGTTAATCATCATCTTTTTCCTTGGGTTTAGAACAAAATTAATGAGAATCAACGACGTGGAAAACAACTGAATAATGAAATAATTCAGCTAAAAGAAGATCTACAGGTTTGAACTAAACAGCAAATGATGATCCAATGCGTTTTAAATTTATACGTTTATTTGTCTCATTATTTATTTATTTATTATTATTATTGATATAGGAAGATGAACCAGCAAATATTGCCGCATTGGAAGAAGCAATAAGAGTATGAAATTTTTGGCTTTTGCACATGAATGTGATGATTTGTTTTAATATGAAATAAACGAATTAATTACAGGAAGCTGAAATTGAGATAGAACAATATAAAAGAAATTATGCATCACTTCAAGAACAAAAAGTGCAACTAGATAACGAACAACTACCGCTAGTCACTGAAATTGAGGAAGTGAGCAAACAACTTAATGATATGTCGAGCGAAGTAGATGTTCTTAATGTATGTAAATTATTTATATGCTAAATACATTTGATCTATTGTATGATGTGCCTATGTACATTTAATTACGTTTATTCACAACAGGAACAAATAGAAGAACAAGTATCTATGCGTGTGACTTGCACGAATAATAAGTCACATTGGGAAAGAAAAATGACCTCAGAGCAGCAAAAAATCAATGCTGCTGAAGAAGATGTTAAGAATAAGCAATATATTTTAGAGGTAATTCTTTATATTTCGGCTATATATTAAATTCAGGTTTAAAATTATAATTATTAACTTGTGTTTTAATAATTTAATAGGATTGGACAAAGCAAGCAGCAGATTATTGTCCAGAACGTGTGGAAGTTACGAAGCCAGCTAATGAATTAGATCGTGAAATCAAGCAAATTCAAACCCGTTTGCGGGAAAGGGAAAAAGAGTAAGTGATTTATCTTTGTTAAAATTTTGAAGCTTATTTTTTTAGGGATTAACTTCTGTCCATCCGTATAGACATGGTTCAAGCCTTGAAGAAATAGCGTCAGATATGACTGTAAAGCGTGATGCTTACCGACATGCAAAAACAGAAATTGGTCACATGGAAAAATTTATTCAAGTAATTAGTTTATAAAAAATTATCATTTATGCTATGCTTTTGTGAACTCTAACCGACAATATAATTTTCGAATAGGATCTCAAATTAGCTTTGCATTCACGCATGCAAAAGTGGCGAAATTTTCGTACTTACATATCGGTTCGTGCAAGGATTCAATTTTCATTTCAGTTATCAAAACGTGGATATACTGGAAAATTATTGTTTGATCATCAGAATAAAAAATTGACTCTACGGGTGATTTTTATTTTTTAATAATATATCACATTCTGCTTGTAAATATTTTATAATTTTAAACTCAAAATTACTTATTGAATTATCTTAATTCCAGGTCCAAATCGATGAACAAACAAACCAAAATACTGATAAAGATCCAAAATCGTTATCCGGAGGAGAAAAATCATTTTCAACTATATGCTTGTTACTTGCACTTTGGGAGGCGATGGGATGTCCAATCCGCTGGTAATTACACAATTCAATTTTTTATGCCTTTTATTATGTTGTAATTTTTTGTTATATTATACACTTTTTTAGTCTTGACGAATTTGATGTATTCATGGATGCTGTGAACCGTAGAATCAGTATGCGTATGATGGTAACCCTATTTTGCGAAAAAAATGTTTTTTATTCAATCTAGTATTGCATTCACCTTACTAATTTCCTATGCTGCATTAAGATTGAAACGGCACGTGATTCAGATTGCACGCAGTATATCTTAATTACTCCTCAAGATGCTAGTAACGTTTCGCCTGGGCCGGACGTCCGTGTGCATCGCTTGCAAGATCCTGAAAGAGGTCAAGGAATCATCAGCTAGAATTGTGGTGATGACAAATGACAAAGTCAAAAATTTTTATGAAAATAAGCATAAATAATGTCATTTTAACTTGACAATGTCATTTATTATAAAAAAAATTATACAAATCATGGCAAAATGACAATTCATAAAAAATATTTTTATAAATAATATTAAAATAACAAATGACAATAATACTAATACTACAGTCAACCCTCGTTAATTTCAACCCATTTGGATTAGACAATTTTATACTAGAGTTGATAACTAAGAGAGTTTTTATATAGTCTGAACTTATTTTTTTTTTGATATTAATAAGAGATTGATATTAACGAGGTTTATATTAACGAGGGTTGACTGTATCTCCAACAAGCTAGGATATTATTATTACTAATCTTTGTAAATTGTACTTGTTATGCATGATTCTTCAATTTATGTCATTCGTAGATTAGAAATCAATGTCATTTTGCGTTTAAACTTATTCTAAGTGCTAAATATATAAAGCATCTGTATTTTGGGATTTTTGACTTGATCATTTTTACGTAAATTACAAATATGTAGTATAGGCGAAACCACATAATCTCGTAAAAATCATGATTTTAATTCTAAATTCTTTTTGGTACCGTCTCATTGTTTTTATTATATTTTTATTAAATCGATAAATAAATAAATTTATGTAGAATTTTCGTGAGGTCACATAATAATTAAATCACTTACGACTATACTATTTTATATATAATATATATTATGAGTGTATCATATACTCAAATGCGATTTTTGTAGTATACTCCACTAATTCACTAAATCATACACCACTGCTAGTGATGGGACCTCCCACATTATTCATAATTAATAATAATTCTTTAACTAAAAGCCCGAGTTATTAATTAAAAACTACTTAATAATGTATGGCGCAGCTATTTAGTATTAATATCGTGCAAGCGTATGAAAAATATACCAATATTTTTTTTAACTATTGCTTGGATACTCCCTTATACCATGTATTAAATGGTATTTTGATAAAATAAGAGGATATTAAATTACAGTTTCAGGATTTAAGTCGCAATGAAATATATCTAAATTCAACTAATTTTATGAAAAAAAATGATTGTACAAAACATAATTGCTATATTTACGGGTTAAACCCATTAATAAAATTAAAATATTAAATGATCAAGGTATTCGACCAATTTTTAGAACTTAATGATCCAATTTAAGTTTCTTCAAAATGTTGTTCAAAAGTGAATTTTTTTTGTATATTTATAGTGTTCATAAGAATAGCTGTATAAATTATTTAATAAATTTATTTTACTGATAATAAAGTATTTTATTTATAATTATTATTATGTCTTGTTCAGTTCTTTTTACTTAAATGTTTTTATAGTAGTATTATCAAAAATTTGTACTATTTTTTTGGGTTTTATTAAATAAGTTTTTTATATTTTTGGTTTTATAACTTTTAATTAACCAAGAAAATTATCATAGGTTTGCATTTTTTTATGTTCTATATACTGTAACATCTAACAAATATTTTTAACTTTTTAGTCTTGAAGATATAGTAACTTAATAAAGTAAATAAGTTGTCAACTTTTCAAGTGGTAGGTTGTAAGTTCAAAACCTACTGATGACAAAAATTTCAACAATTATTTATATAATATTATGTATTACAGCAATAGCATTTATTAATCAATTAAGATAGCATAACTGGCAGGTTATAAAGTATTTGTGTAACTTTAGTTACAGAAAAAATGCAAACTGATATTAGGTAATGCAAACTCAAAAATAAGTTTTTGTAGTTGTGTTAATCTATATAACTGAAAAAAACCAAAGCCTACTTGTAAAAATCTAAGCAAAAAAATAACAAAATTTTAATAATATTATTGTAAAGACTAAACTTAAAAAACAAATATTAATACAAAAAAATTAAATAGACAAAAATCTTTAAATAAGAAATATGATCAACCAGTTTACCAGAATTAGAACTAAAAAAAATTATAAGATTAAACTTAATATATTAAGAACAGATTATAGTCCTATTAGGTTATTTGAATTAAAAATTTGAAGCCAAAATAAAAATATATTATATAAAAGTACTAGAAATATATTGTAAAGTAAGTAATATGATCTGAATAAATTCTGCAAAAATTAGTCTTATTAATAATTTATAAAGTAGATAAATTAATTAATAAAAAAATGTTCTAAGCTCTATAGCCAAATAATGTATTCTAAAATAGATAATAGTTTGATAGATCTACAAAAAGAAAACCAAATATTGAATTAAATAGCATTTGATTGTATGAAAATCAGATGATTATATATTTAGATATAGCATAAAGATCAGGATATTTAAATTAAATAAGTAACTAAAAATTACACATATTGCTAATTATATATTTACCTTGTACAAGTTATATATAATGTATTAACTAAAAACATAAATAAAAATAATAGCTATTATAAACATCAGTTTTAATAATAAAATAAAAAAAAATTTTTAATCTTATTAATGAGTTAGATTTATCTGTACTAAATTTAGTATATTGTACTAAATTTTAATAGCAAATAAATTGAAATTTTTATCAATTACAAAAAGATAATTAAGCTTAAAATTAACAAGTTATTTACTTATATTAGAAGGCTTCTACAATAAATTTTATAGACTTATTAGAGTTACATATAAGACAAAATTATATGTTAATTATGAGATATAACATCAGATAACAAAAATGTGACAATTATTATATAAGGTAAATCTATCAATATAAAAAAATTAAAATCAGTATATAAATGATTATTATATATTTAATTTATATATATAACTATTAATAAACTATTAAAATATACAAAAAACAATTGTTTAAATAAGTTAAAACTAGTTGATGCTATATAATTCAAAAAAAACTTCAATATTTTTAATTATTAACTCCTTTGTAATCATAAAGTAGGTGCTCCTAGATGTCCAATACACTAGCTGTGAAAAAAAAATCAAGTATGAGTGCTAGTAAGTATTATGTATACATAGGTATATAAAAAAAATTTTTTTTTATAAAAGTACTAAGCTTTATTTTTATTTTTTTCTAACATTAAAATGGAACAAATTTCTTCAAATATCAGATGAGATACTAAGGTTTCTGTTTTGGGCTCTGTTGTGAGCAAAGATATTGTACATTTTTTTTTGAGAAAATTATGAAAAACAAAGTAAATTTTGACAACAGTTCTATGAACTGCATCAGGCAAAAGCTATTGAATAATTTCTTTTAACTTGCAACTAGAAAAAGAAATTAAAGTCATAGCAGGTTAAATTAAGTTTGTAGATTTTTCTACAAATAGTGTGAGTACTAGTCAACATATAAATAATAAATCAGAAACAAATAGTAGTAAAATAGATATGTTTAGTAATAGTAATAATGATTATAATAGTCAAAGTGAAGGTAAAAGTGAAAATGCAATAAATAGTAATAATATAAATAATATATATTGAATTAATAAAATTGCTACAATTAATTCTTATCAAGTAGCTCATTCTTATTCTGATACACTAGTTATACATATTGCTAATATCTTTAATGCAACACCTAGACAGTTTTTTGAGCATTTTATGCTTATTAACTTTATAATATTAGTAGTAATTCTATTTACAAATAAATGCATGCATGAGTGTGAAGTTAGATGAAGTAATTTAACTTAGATAGAATTCATGAAATTTATTGGCATCTTAACAATTATGATATTTGTAAAATGCACAGATATTTATAACTATTGGTCTACTAAACAAAACAAAGTAGGATTTTGTTTACATTTGGTCAATATATGTCCTATTAGCAGTTTCAAAATATTATAAAGTATTTGACATTAATAAATATATTAGTAAATGATAATCTCTTTTATTTTGTATAACAATTTTATAATTTATTTAATAAAAATCTTATAAAAGCTATTTCATCTAAATTATACCTTTGCATAGATAAATTAATATGCTAGTAGATAGATAAAATAGATAAGGGTTCATTTTAGCAAAAAATATTAAGAAAGCTGTATCCAGTCAATTGTGAATTCAAAGCTATTGCAAATATACAATTCAATTTGTTTTTAAGATTAGACTTAGTAAAGTCTCTGAATCATGCTAAAAAAAAAAAATTTTCAGATCTATATATACTAACTGTTACATTAGTATTAAAATTAATAGAACTATGGTTCTATAGTAGTAGAACAGTTATTGCTAATTTATGGTTCAGTAGTTCAGATGCATGTGTTACTTTGTATAACTATAGGATTTATTCTATTTTACAAATCAAGAAGTATTATTACTAGCCTAAACATATCTCTCATAATATTACTAATGTACTTAAAAGTGCATATAGATTATTTGTTAGCCAAATCTACAAAATAAATAATACTAATTTAACTGTATGTTCAATTTATGACTGTAAAAATATAGTTTTTTTTGCTAGTTGTTCTATAACAGTTCTTGGATCAGAAGTAAAGCAATATATAGTGATATAACATTTTATTAGATAACAATATATTTGCATTCAATACTGATATAGACTAATTTATTTTTAAAACTCTTTCTCAAAATTTTACTATATATCTGCTTTTACTAATTAAAATAATCTTTAGGGTTTCTTTTACTCTTCTCTATAGTTAATGATTACAATAGTTAATTTAACTAAAACAAAAAATTAAAGGTTAATATCATATTAGATGTTATTATATATATAGCAACAATAATGTAGTTTAGAAATATTTTATTTATATATTTATATCCAATTGATATATCTATGTATTACTATTTTTTCTACTTGATATTATATAATAAAAAAAAAAACATTTTATTAGTTTGTTGTATTTGATGAGTTTTGTAAATTTAGACTAGTAGTAGATATACTAAATAATTTGCATAATAACATGCTTTTTTATTATGATGTTTTTGTGTTTAAATATTTAATAAATCAAAATTTTGCCTTCTATCTTACTATTGTAAAGTCAAATAGCTTCTCTGCTTATTGATAATTTGTTCT